CAAGCTGGCAATAAACACCTGTAGTAATTTAATTCTGACCCGAGTTTTGTGCACAATCTTCCAGGCACCATGTCAATGTTTATACGCAATCAGGAACATTCACGCTCACAACTACACATCCGCTTCCCCATCATGATTGTTAGATAAAAAAGTTTAGCAACTGTCCGGTTACACCTTGTTGAGCGAAAAATAGCGGAAGGTAGCAAACAAACAATCCAGGCGAGGCTGGTGTTTGCCACGTGTGACGTCACAGAGCTGGGTTAATGGCTGGCAAGCTTTTCGCTACCGGAGCGGAATAACACGGGAAAGTGGCACACATTTCATGTTATTTGGGTAGTATTTATGGAAAGAATCATTGATGTTGATATGTCAAATGAAACAGTGGAAAGTGATGAAGCGATTTATTAACACAGAATAACGTTTATTTTTGGACATTTCATGGACTTTAAGAATACGAGCATGTCTACTCAGGGGAGAGGCGGGTGCGGAGGCGATTCACAATCAGGCCAGCTGTAGAGCAGACCCTCTCAGCTGGAATTTGGGCATAAGATGAGGTTTGAGTCTGCGTGATCTGCGTGTAGGGAGGGGCAGCAGCCATATCATTGGCTAGAACTAGCTAGATCTGATGGATTTGGACATAAACGCGAGTGGAGTATAACTGGACGCGAGAGAGTGAGAGATCCGCACCTGCAGCTCTGCCCGCTGTGAGGGACAGGTGAGGGGAGGGGAGCAAAACACACCTTTAGACCTAACACATTTAGCTATGGCACTGTCGTATACATTGAATTATTCCATTTGATAATATGTAATCAACTTAGGCACCCCTCCCAAAAAAAAAAAATTACAATAAAATATTCATAACTCATAGTCTCATATTCGAATACCTGAATAATTTCGAATATTCGATTAATCGTTCCCATCCCTAGTTGCAACAAGTCAGTTTGTGAAATGTCTTCTCTCCTAGATATTCCACGATCAATTGTAAGTGGTATTATTGCAAAGTGGAAACGTTTAGGTACCACAGAAAGACCACGGAAAGTTACAGAGCGGGGTCACCGAGTGCTGAGGCGCATACTGCGTAGAAGTCGCCAAAGCTCTGCTGACTCAATAACTGCAGAGTTCCAAACCAGCTCTGGCATTAATATCAGCACCAAAACTGTGCGCCGGGAGCTTTGTTGCATGGGTTTTCATGGCCGAGCAGCTGCATGCAAGCCTTACATCACCAAGCACAATGCCAGGCGTCGGATGGAGAGGTGTAAAGCACGCCGCCACTGGACTCGGGAGCAATTTGAAATTTGGACCACAGCAATGTTTAAAGCTTCAAACGATTTGAGTCAGCCGACGCTGATCTTACTAAACAAATTAGCAGAGACCCTGCCTTTTCAGCAGAAACAGAAACTGTTAAATTAAATGCTATATTACCAACAGTTTTCAAAACCCATAGTATGCGACAGTTCTCCAGCTCAACCTTCCTCTCCCCCCACTCCATCTGCCCTTCTCTCCCTCTGCACCTCCTCCTCCCTCCCTGCCCCTCGCTGGCAATTCAGCAAGATATTTTCTGCGCATTGAGTCCCTATCAGCACTTTGGGAAAGTAAACACTTTCTCCAGTTGCCAAAGCTTGCCAAGACACCTGTCAAACAAGCCATATGCTCTCCTCCTGGCACAGAGGAGGGAAAGATGTAGCAAAACGGAGAGTATCGTAAGAAAGTGTAATGTATATTATTTCCACTCCCCCATTCAAATTCAGCATGTTCATACAGTTAAACATACCAGCAATGTGTCTGCCAAAAGCTTGCTACTCTACTGAATGGAGCCAAGTTGAAGGGCAGCCAAAGAATGTATGCTCAGTGGTTGAGATGCACATGCTGGGTAAGGGTCACGCGGGAAAAACTGAAAAATGTTTAACTCAGCTCAAAAATTCCTTATGTGGCTCAAGTTGCCTTTAGGGTAATAAACATTTATGACACAGCTGCTTTATGTAGGTAGGTTTAAAGGATGCAGAGTACATTGTGATAGTTTGGATGACCATGAGGTCAGCATAACTCATCTCCCAAAAAACGTGTAACTTAGCCACGTCACTCAAACAAGGAGGGAAAAGAAGAAAAAACATTAGAAGAAAAATCAAAGTCAGCATGCATTGTTTGCTTTCTTCAACATCAGCAGCATTTCACCTACTTTGAAAAACAGCTTGTGGGGCAGAGCAGAGCCACAACAGAATTGCTTAACAAGCAAAGGTTGGCAGAGCAATTTCAAACAGATAGTAAAAACCAAGATAAAAATAGACTACCGTAGATTCTCATACAGTTATGTTATGATGTGGTGTGAAAAACATGCAGTGCAGATATTATAAAGGAATAGTAGGAGCTCGGTATGCAGAGCTAAATATTGTATGCTTAGCCTTAAGGTGCGCTCTCTTATTTGATTTGTACGGAATAACAAATAACTTTCATTTCAGCCAATTCACAAGTAGATCAATTAAAAAGTTATTTGAGTCCCTCCTCATTATCTGTATACTTTCCAAACAACATATACATTATATCAATTTGTCAGTATACATATACTGACAAAAAGCATGACGCATTACTAGAGCTGATTTCCCGACTCGATTAAAACATTTTTCTTTTTTTTAAACATGCATTGGTTCAAATATTGTTGTTGATGTCATGTACAACACTGATTAATCGAAGCAGCCATAACTTCATTAAGCTTTTAACTAGTAAGAATATGAAGAAAATAATAAGTATGAAAAGTATAGCCGCCTATTTGCCGCACAGCCATAGTGCTGTGTGTCTTTCGGCAATATGGAGGTGAGGAGAATGAGATGCTGTTGATTTCAAAAAGTAGACTTTATTGCTGTAAAAGAAAATATGTTGAGCATTTGGTGTACCATCAACCTTGACAAATGTACATCTTGATTGCAGCGAGAACAGTGCTTTTAATGACCTGCAGTAATTAGCTAGGATATCATCCTGCCACATTGTCTTTTCACCTAGAGCCACCCTGCAGTGATTCCGCTGTTGCAATTACAGATGGCAATAATACATTTGACGCAATGCCCTTAAAACTAGTTTTATTACTGCCAAATGGTAGAAAATACTTTAACCAAGTCAGCCATTGTTTGCTGCGGCAAAATCTTGCAAATGTCTGCATGTAGTGTCAGTTTTACTCCCATCTTTAGGTAAGTGTCCTACTTTTCAAAAATATAAATAATATTAAAATAATAATAGATACCACACTGCTAAATACTTAGAATATTTAGACTTACTAAATACTACCTGTTGGGTTTGAAAACTGTCAATAATATAAATATTTTAAAAATAATACCATATAATGGGCCATGAACAACATTTTTAAAAAGGTTAAAATATCATGGAAAATTATGCAATAAGTGAAAAAAAAGCCACCTGACAATGCCGCAGCAATTTCTGAATTCCCAGACTAGCAGGATCTACCAGAGTTCAGTTTTCACCAGACATTCCTGCACATTATTGCACAATACTTATTTCAGTTGGTGGTTCAAACCAATACAGTTTTGCTGCTTATGCCAAACAGAAGGGTTCAATGGGTGCAGAGCCATAATGGTTGCTTATGCATACGTCGTAATTGGTATGGCTCCACTGTGTTCTGACATGCCTTATAGTTCAAATATGTAGTTATCCTGGAATACAGCATGCTGTTGTTTCCAAATGGTGCTTTTAACGCAACATATAAGGGCCTTTCAAAACAAAATGAATGTCACAGAAATGGTAATATATCTTGATGAGCAAGGTAAGCCAAGGTATACAGAATAACCTGCCATGTCCCTGGACATTGTACTCTGCTGCCATAACATTGTGTACTATTACTTTTACCGGTACATTTAATAAACTAAAACTAGTACTTCTACCTTTAGTATTGAAGCTTGACAGATATTCTGCAAAAAAACACAGTAGGTAATGTTAGTGCCATCTGTTTATGACACAACACAGTGAGTTTACATGTTATTTAAGGTACATTCATTAAGTATCTCATTACCAAGTTGGAGTGGACACTGAGGTACCCTAGCATGTACTGTTTTTGCCACTTGCTCTCTGCAGCACTTTCTCAATGCTCTATGATGCATATTAAACTAATCACCTGACTTTGTGTTATTTTATGTCTTGTATTGGTAACTGTATTCTATGTGATATCGATTTCCCGTGACTATTTTATCAGATGTCAATTCTCTACTGTGAAGCACTTTTGACTGCAATTCTTGTAGGGAAGGTACTATACAAATAAAGCTTATTATTATTGTGCATACATTCAGTACTGATACATTGCAAATGTGGGGTGTCTCAAACTTTACAACAAACCATTCGGTCAGTAGTTAGTTAGCTATTGATGGGGGGGTCTATACTAAGTCACCTAGCGAAGCAGCTAACAATAGCGTTAGCTTGGCATCCACCTACTTTTTGTCGTTGTCTCTATCATTTTACATATCGACGCCAACTTGCATTAACATTTGTTTAAAAGAGGTTTTGCATTGGCTCAAAAGGGCCGAACCACCCAAACTATCAAGCAGCACACAAGATAACTACCACAGCGTTAGCTACATTAGCTAGAGTAGAATCGAACAATTATCTCAGAAAACAGCCCAACTTTCCCACAAACTTCATACTTTGACTGGTGTCGGGTTGTCTTACTGCTTGGACACGCTTTCTCCGATTATGAAAACGCTTGACAACATTTCATATGTTAGTAGCTTAAGTTACAACGTCGAACGCGGGTGCAAACTATGTCGGCTGTCATGCTACTGTGCTAGCTTGCTTATGCTACCAGTTAGCACTAGTTTAGCTAGCAACCATCCCATGTCAGCCAGTGCTAAGTAGCGGCTAACGCTAGCTAGCATCTAGTTCGTACCGCACGGTCGGAGGCAATTATTTCCCTATTACTTTACGTGTCATAGCAAGAACGCACCGACATTGCCAGCGCCCTATTGTCACCAGTTCAATTCAACATTCGAGTCCATTTTACTCACCGTTTTGCAGATGAGCATTAAACGTTGTCCATTCCCCTCGGTAGTTCGCTAACAGCCAGGCCTCCCCCCTCTCCAGTCCAGATGTGTCAGACAGTTGCTGCTGCAATTTTTGCATCAACAGGAAGTGTTCTTTTGGCTCTTTGCATTCATTCTATCAGTGTGTGTTTTGCAGCAGCCCCTCCCTTGCTTATGTCAGTCTTAGCTTATGTATTGAGACATCATGTCCAGAATACACGACGTGAGGGATAATAATATATATAAGCACAAAAAAAGTAAAGTAGCCTTTAGCCGGTGTCCAACTAGTTTTCAACAGATAACGTGGCTACCACCATACTTTATATACTGACTACCCCATTGCTTGTGGTATATATTGCAACACTTTCAGTTAAAGTGCATCTGCCGGTCTTGTAAATATTGTACTAATTTGATCATTTAAGTGTCTCATTGCAAATCCAAGATGACATAAATCTAGGACCTTTCTAACTGAACAAAACATTATCAACATGATGGTAACTGTTCTTTTAAAGGTTTTTTTCAGTTATTTGGCTTAATTTTGTGAATTTGTCTTTAACAACTTCAACTCTACACTTATTTTCAGCTTTTTAAGTCACATTTCTAGTTCATTTGGTCAACCATTTGCTGTGTTATTTAAAAGTATTTTCGAATGAGTTGCATAATCCGATTTTATAAACTGAAAAGGAATTTATTAAATGCTGCATAGACACCACAAAGGGGCGCAAGAGACTCAATTGATAAGAGCCTTGCATCCTACTCTTGCCTCAACTCTCCGAAAAGTTGAAGCCGGTGGGTCAGCATTGCAAGGAAAATATTCAACCAATTCGATGGCATTATACAATACAATCATTATTAAATGTTGTATTATAAATACATTGACAACATTTGTAAATAAGGAAATGCTGGAAACAGCAGAATGTTACAGAATGAGACATTTTATGAAAAATAGGTATTTTATATACTAATACTTTTTAAGAAACATGAACATCAAAAAACGAAATAGCACAATGAAAATTACTCTAAGTAACCTTCAAACTGAATTATAATAACACATAACTTAAATGTAGCTTTATAAGGATGACCAATGCAATGAGATGTGAGCACTGCAATCCCTTTTAAGTGTACGGTAGAACATTAATAATAATCAAAAACATTTATTTATAACAATCAGCTTCCACTCAGAAGTGGTGTTCATGTATATGAATTCATCTTCAAAAACATTTTCAATCAACTTTTATGAATGTAATTTCCAGATTTAAATGTGTTTTGACCCAAATCAGTGGTTGATGGCTATATTTAACTTAATTTTAATATAACATTCTTCTTGCAAACAATGTGTATGTATGTTTTCTCTTTGTAAAAGAGACAGGAAAAGTATTGTGTGTTATAAGCACTAACATGAAATGAATGTGTTCTGTGTGTGTTTCTTTTTTTTATTGAGTGTGAGTGACAGGTTGGCAGCTCAGGTGAATATCTGACCTAATCTGTGTGCAGGTGGGTGATCAACGTAGAGAAAGGAATCGCTTTGTCATTGCACGTGCTTCTTGTTAAACAAGTCTCTCCTCTATTCTCGACCGTAATTTGCTTCTTTTTTTTCTTTTTCTGGAGATTGATGCACAACCCAAAGTGCAGCCAAGGCATGGTGATTAGAGATGGTTTTGTTGATCCGCAGGAATGATCATGGTATTGATAACATTTCAAACAAACTCATAATCAAAGGGTTTCCTGTTGAAGTTGTAATCTTTTCTGAAATGGGGCTTTGTTAGCTCAGTGTCATTTGGTTGACCAGGAATTATTCGACGGTAAGCTAATGGGGCTGGTTCTGAGTGGTGCAGCGCCAGGGATCGTATAGGGGCTCCAGGTGGTGTGGCCTCGGGCTCTGATGTGCTGCTCCTTTTTAATCCCAGATGACATTGCAAAATCCCCAAACCCCCTGCCCCTGTATAAGACTGTATAGGAGCAGAGACCAGATGATTTGTTTAAAGAGCGCATATCATGTATCAAGCTGAGGGAATAAGGAGCTCCACTGTTGTATGTTAAGCCTCAGACCATAGGTTATGCTTAATATGGAAGATAGGTTTTTATTCTTTGTCTGAAAAGAACATTTGTGGCATTTGTTTAATAAACTCTAGCACGTTTTACAATACTGATTTGATTTTTGAATGTCTCAAGATTTTGTTGCATTACATCCAAACATTTTTTATTTGTGGGTCCTGCACAGTTTCTTGCAACATAAAGCCTTCAAACAATTCTGCTGCAGTCAACAAATACCACTCAAACCCAAGTTTGTTTGGTAATGTTGAATAAGTAGCCCAATTTTTAAGCTTAACATGAATAACACACTGTTTTCTATGTGTGCCAAGAGTCCAAGAATACCTTGGCTGTCAGTGCCGGGGAGAACAATGGTCTCCCAGTGCTCCTGTCCAGAAATAGTCTATAGCTCACTGATGGAGAACATATTTCCCAATAGCAGGTGTCTGAGTCAGTCAGTGCCTGATCCTCACCATGACTGTAAATGAAAGGGCCAGCTCGTCCAGGTGCGGGAGCACCTCTTTGGCCCTCTCAGGTTTCTCCTTGATGGAGGAGCTTTTCGTGGAAGAATGAACAAGAGAAATATTGAAATTAAACTATGTATATGTTAGTATGTTATGTATCATTATTAAAAGCATATACATCATCCCCTTAGCATATGTAATATTCTACATACTGTATGCAATTCGCTTTTTGAGAACAGAATAACGCAGATAGTTATCTACTTTGTATAGATTATTGATTTTTATTAATATTGTTCTTGTTCTCAAAATGTTTATAATGGTTTAAGTCGATGCTTTGTATTAGACAAACAGTAGAAACAACATGCCTAAAATCTTTTTGCGGTTCTGGAATCATAGCAAAAGCAGCAAAAGCTTATAAAATATGTAAGTATACGTATGCCACAATGATAGTCGGTTTGACTTATCATCCTTTAATTTTAAGAATCAGTTGGACTCCAACCAAAGCCATTTAAGACCGAACCTACAAAGCTAAGATAGTTTTACCAGTAAGTAGAATAATCAGTGCATTGCAAGGGTAATGAGCTCTCAGATGTGTCATATATATTTGCCTGAGAAATTAAGGCAATTTGTGGAAATGGTGGCCTGGGGTTGAGGGGAATACAGAGTGGCTTGTAAAGATGAGTGATATCTGGCACAGCATGAAGAGAATGAGAGGTGTGCTGCCCGGTGCTTAGCTCAAATGAAAGCTCTGATTAGTGGAGCAAAGATCAAAATGACAGAGCGGTGCAGGCTTCAGCTGGGCCTTTGTTATTGATAAGTCTGTCATCTCTGCTGATATTGGAGCAGTAATGGCAGCTGATGATTAGGCCACTCCTGAGCTATTAACTACATTTCTTATCCTTTTACTGGGGCCCAGGAGAGCCTGTTTGAGAGACAAAGGCGTCCTTTATGAAGCTGGCTCCTTAAACGGCATCCACCTGAACTAAAAGGCACAACTGTTACTGTCTTTCTGCCAGGCCAAAGGAGTCAGGGACGAGATACATGTCAGAGGTCGCATTGAGCTGCTGTTTGAAATGAAGGGGTTCTGAGTGAGTAAGCTGCTGAAAGACGGCTGCGGCAAAATTACAGAAAATTGCCTGTTTTGTCAACATTTCATCAGAAGATTTACAGAAAGCTGACCCCGACCCTTTCTCTCCCCCTCTTTCACAAGGCTAAGGAGATTGAGTGGGTCGGAATTGACTGACAAACAAATCTCTTCTTTATTTCTTTCTCGCTTTCTCTTCCCTCTCTAGAAGTGTTATTCAATATGATCTCTTTTTAATGATCCTAAGTGGCTGAAATTACATCTCCTCAACACATATTGTTGAGGTTATTTAAGTCTTATTTCTAGCCCTCACAAAGGACATAAAAGCTAAAATGTTCAAATTCTCCAATGAACATAATAATATGGCTATCATTTTGTATTATGATACCATGATGGACTAATCCAGTACATTTATTTTAATATCTAGCTCTTAATTTAAATGTATATGAATGCAATGGACAGTTACCGTATGTGACATGGGAAAGATAAGAAGGGTAATAATAATCTTAAAACGGCTTACTACTGAGCACTAGATTAAGGATCCCCAACCAGAGGCCTACTTGTACTTTTGCAGGTACTTTGATTCGGTACATGGGAAGATTGTGGAGAAAAATAGCTTTTATAATATTGGTAAAATGACAAAAACGGTTGGAAAAAATATAGGTCTAGAAAAGTCAATTATTCAACAACTTTGGTATTCATTAACTATCCACTTACTAAAATGATTTAAAGAGACTAATACGTGTTTAAACTTTTGGTGAAAGTTAATGTTTGAACAACCCTAAAATTAGGCTTATATGGGGTTGAAACAGTTAGCTAAAATTGAAACTAAAGGATCAGGCTAATGGATAAGTGGTTAACACCATTAGCTATCGGATGGTTAAAATAGATTGCTAATTGGTAAATAGTTGAAATAACTCAATATAATTGGTAAATGGTTCTAGGAGTACAAAAGCAGTTCAATTATATAAAACCATCATTGTATAAATAATTAATTGTATGAGCATCCTGTTTAAAATCAATTGAAATGAACACTTTTGGAACACGACAGGTGGTGTCACTGACGGGGTACTTGAGTGCATTTGACAGGGCTGTTGGAGTATGTCTGACAAAAAAAGGTTGGGAACCACTAAACTTGATTGCATACAAGCTTTTGGGCGCAGCATTTCCATCCTCAGCTCCATGCTTTGTCTCTGACCTCAGCTCAGTCCACTCTCTGCCTTTGGTATTCTCCTACAAAGGCCAACAGGAATCCTAGGCTTGTTGATTTAGCCCCCAGTGGCCGGAGGCAAAGCATCTTTCATTAACGTCTAAAACCTCAGGAATGAGATACTGGCCTCACGATAAGATCTGGTAATGCAGTAACATGGAATTATGGAAGAAGAAAATTGCCATTTTGTATATAAGCACCTGTGATCTCCCATGAAAGCCCCCTGTTCCCCCGGTTGGGTCAGTCCCAGGAGAGGACAGGGTCCTGGAACCCAATCCATCTTGCC